TAGAACGCAACTTTTTGGGGAGGGGAGGGAGCAGCTTTCGGGAGCCGCTTTGGACAATAGCTTTGGGGGAGCCGCTTTGGGAACAGGTTTGAAGCATAGCAGCTTTGGGGCAAACGGTTTGCGGCGGTGCTTTGGGGAACAGCTTTGGGAAGCAGCTGCAGGGAACTGCTTTGGGAGCAGCTTTGGGGGAGCAGCTTTGTGGAGCAAGTTTGGGGAGCAGCTTTGGGGAGCAGGAAAGCTTTGAGTTTTGCACGGCAGCTTTGAACAGCAGCTTTGAAGAACGGCAGCTTTGGGGACTAGCTTTAGAACGCAACTTTGGGGAGCAGCTTTCGGCAGCAACTTTGGGGAGCAGCTTTCGGGAGCCGCTTTCGGGCAAGCGCTTTGCAGAGGTGCTTTGGGGAACAGCTTTAGGAAGCAGCTTCGGGGAACCGCTTTGGGGAGCAGCTTGGACCACTTTGCAGAACAATTGCCTTGAAGAACAGCAGCTTTGGAGAGCAGCTTTCGGTAGCAACTTTGGGACGCAGTTTTCGGGAGCCGCTTTGCAGAAAAATTTTGGGGAGATCGCAGCTTTGAGGCAACAGCTTTGGAGAATAGCTTTGGGGAGCAGCGCCGGGGAACAGCTGCGGGGAGCAGCTTTGGAGTTTTGAGGGGCTTCTTTGGGACGCGGCTTTCGGTGGGGAGGAACTTTGCGGCTTTGCAGCAGCATTGACGAACAGTTAGTTGCTTTGAAGAAGGGCAGCTTTGGGGAGCAGCTTTAGAAAGCAACTTTGGGAAGCAGCTTTCGGAAACAACTTTCGGGGGCAGCTTTAGCAGCTTGGGGGAGCAGCTGTTCGGAGCAGCTTTTGATAACAACTTTCGGGAGCGGCTTTGGGGAACAGTTTTGTGGAGCAGGTTTAGGGAGCAGCTTTGGGGAGCAGGAGCAGCTTTGAACAGCAGCTTCGAAGAATCGCGGCTTTCCGAGAAGCCGGGGGGAGAGTGCACAGCAATATCCCCCTCAACCAGATGAACCTTCCCCACCCGCCGCAAGACTCTCGCGCGATCGAGGTCCTGGTGAACGGCTTGCCACTGTGACATGGTGGACGCCACCCTGGACAGCCCCGTTGGACGAAACGGATTGCCCCGCTGGCGGGCCGACGCCCACCCCGGCACCGCCATCCAAGAAGCGGCATGACGCAAACGCGACAGACTTACCTACTCGGAATTCTATAATTCCTCGAGGTGCCGCTTTACCGTTTTCGGCGTTGAAATCGGCGGTCGGTGGGCCGCCGAGGCGGTTATTTTAATATATTTAATATTTGCAATGGGAAAATATTATGATTTATTACTATCTATATTGATGTATAGAAGGAAAAAAAATATTATTTTTATAATTTATTAATTATTAATTTTATATATTTTAATTTGGAAAATATTA